TAAAGATCCCTTCTACAAGTGGGTTGAGGTAATAATTAACTTTTTCGATCTCTAAATTATGCTAATACTTAAAAGTGCCAAATTCAGGGTTTTTTTTTATTTTTATATGAAGATGCATACCACCATTATTGATGTTATTTGAAGTTGGCTCAGCTAGAATTTCGGTTAATAATACTGTCAAAGCACTTGCCATCAGAATGTACAAACACATGGAAATCAAGAGCAGGCTTTAACAAAACAAAAGTTAATGGTTTTCTATTAATTTGCACAGGTCTTCTGTGGCAATGATCAACCAATCACTGCTACTAAAGTTGATTCCTCATCCTGAAATCAAGAAAGGGGTAATTGGCTCCCAAAAAAAAAAAACAAACACAAAGTGTAGTGTAGTTAATACAATACTATATATGATAGTGGATGCCACATATAACCTAAAAGTCCCACTACTTCTTCAGTACTACAAGTTCAGCGTCCTATAATATATATAGTCACCTCATCTCCACATTCTGTAATCATCAAATTTTAGTAGCTATATAAAGAATGAATGTAAAAGAAGCTGCAGTTTTCTGTTCTCTAGTAAACTGTTCTCTTCATTTTTTATTTTGTGCCTGTGAAAATTTCGCACTCTTTAATTGATAGATTTATTGTTATTAGTTAGCTGTTTTATGTATATTGCACATGCGCATAATTATTTATTGGTGATGATAGATTCATACTTATTAATTAGTTGTCTTATGCAAACTGCACAAGCGCACAATTATTTATTGGTGATGATAAAAATTTATAGTTATTAGTTAGTTGTCCTATGCACACTGTACAGGCGCACAATTATTTGTTGGTGGTGATAAATTTATAATTATTAGTTAGTTGCCTTGTGCACAAGGCATAGGCGCACAATTATATTAGCTATAGAATTTGAAAACATCGTGTGAAAATTTCGCACTCTTATAATTTTTTTTTGCACGTGTGAAACTTAAGGGCCTCACATTTGAAAGTTCGCCTAGAGCCTCTCAAAATATTTGGAATCTCATGGCCGCCCTACATGGTGGGCAGATTATTAGCATACAAAACCAAATTACCAAGTATCAAATCATAATTGTTAAAAGTTAAAAACATGACATTGCTAGAATCAATGGAATAGCCACCACAAGCTCCAACAAGGCTGTTGTACATATAACTGAAGACCATTAGCATAAAAAACCAAATTACCAAGTATCAAATCATAACCGTAAGTTAAAATCACAACATTGCCAGACTTAATGGAATAACCACCACTGGCGAAATCGATCGCGTTAGATATAAGAAAACAAGGAATTCACACTGTTCTTAAGAGCAATAAGAAGAATCTAACCGAATAAGGTGATAGACCTCAAGAGGTCCTACTCCGGGAGGAGTTCTTGAACTATCATGAAAATAAAGCAATCTAAGAACATGCAACATATTAATGTCATCGAGAATTTAAAAAAAAAAAAAAAAAAACAAAACAAAAACACAAATTTTTAGAAAATTATAAAAGATAACTTGTTCTCTTCTAAGAAAAAAAGAAAAAAAGAAAAAAAAACAACAACAACAATTTGTTAAGAAAAGTATAAGACAGTTTTAAGTTTTAACGTGATCGATCGATCACGAAATCCGATCCACAAGAAGGAAAAAGAGCAAATACAGAACAAATTTCATGATGAAAGCACAACTTACAAGATCTTATATACTCCTATGGTAGATTCGCACTGCAGATGCCGCCTTAAGTCAAAGGCACATGCATGCGTATTATCATTACTCATTTAAAAGTTTTAATCCCATAGGAGTACAAGTTTAGCCCCAGCAAACATTATGAGGCCCAATCCATTAGAGATAAGGTTTAGAATTGACAATCCATTAGCCCATAATTCAGATAAGATTTAATCTCAGCCATTAAATTGTAATCCGTCTCAACCGTTGGTTTGCTAAACTTTAAGAGATAAGAATAAACCCTCCAACATCTTCTTCTTATTAAACCCTATCTTATTAAATATCCACTCAACGTTTTACTTCCTCTTCTCTTATTTAACTAAATCCATAGTACTAGCTTGTCGTTCATCCATTTTTTTTTTTTTTTTTGGTATACTTCAATATCTTAAATTGCATTTAACAGTTTGATCCTCAAAGTCATGGAACTTTGAGTAAGACATTGATTTCTCAAAATTACCAAAAGTATGTATTTAACAGATTGATCCACTACCACTTTTGTATTCTTGTATTTGAAAATCTACAATACAGAATTTTATAACCAAAAGTCATACTTCAATCCTCCATAATTCACACCAATTTTTTTATTTTTTATTTGGTATAGTACATTATCTTAAACTAAGTTTAATAGATTGATCTACCACCACTTTTGTATTCTTGTATTTTAAAAATTATTTAAAAAATCTATAATACAGAATTGGTCCGATCCTCCATATTTCACACCAATTTTTTTGTTTGCTATACTCCGGTATTTTTTTTTTTGTTTTGTCTTCTTGATTTAACTTTAGAGTATATTTTACAATAAAATAAATATTTCATTTATTATTTAAACAAGGACAAAAATGATTTATATTATTTTTATTCAAAATCCCATTTTAAATTCAATTTGTTTCAAATATATAAATAGAATTTCATTTTAATTGCAATTCTTATTCCTTTTTTTTTTTTTTTTTATAAGTAAAAATATATTTAAAAAACGATCAAAAGGAGAACGTGTCTTTAATACACAAAAACGAAAAAGCAAAAGCCAAATCTACGGACCAACAATAGAACAAAAAAATCATCAATCGAGGAGCAAGCGCTGCCTCTAACATAACAGAACAGAAAAGAGAGCGAAGAATAAGAGACTTAAGGTTTGCAAAAGACGATTCCTTCCCTTCAAAGTTTCTGTTATTTCTCTTTCCAAATACACCACCAAACACAATGTGGGGCGACCCTCCAAAAATCACGAGCATGACCAGAAACAGGGCAACTTCTCCAAGCGTTAATAAATTGGAAATAGTGCTTAGGCATTACCCACTGAACGCCAAAAATACTAAATATGAGATTCCAACAATCAGATGCAACAGAACAATGCATAAGAAGATGGTCCACGGACTCACCATCAGCTTTACAGAGACAACACCAGTTAACAATGGTATTACCTCTCTTACACATATTATCTAATGTTAGAATTTTTCCCCAGGTAGCAGTCCAAACAAAAAAGGCAACTCTAATAGGAGCTTTAGAGCGCCAAATACACTTCCATGGGAAATTATGCCCAATAAAATTAGACAAACACAAGAACATGGATCGAACTTCGTATCTACCATGAAGAGAGGGGGTCTACAAAATATCATCACAACCTCTGCCAACATCCTTCTGTCTATACAACAGGTCTAAAAAGACGCAAACTTCTGTTATCTCCCAATCTTGAAAAGAACGTCTAAAATGCACATCCCACGTAACTCCACTGTTATCAAGATGATAACAGTCAATTACATAAGCATGCTTATTCTCGGCAATGCTAAAGAGACGAGGAAAGGAAAAAGACACCAATTGATCACCACACCATAAGTCTTCCCAAAATCTAACATTCATACCATTACGAACCTTGAATCGAATATGGGTGGAAAACACATCCCAACCTTTCCGAATGAACTTCCAAATGCCAACTCTCCCAGTAATAGAAACAGGACAAGAGGACCAACCTCCACTCTCCTCCCCAAAACGACACGAGATAACTCTTCTCCATTGTCGATGACGCTCTTTACCGAACCTCCATAACCACTTCCCTAATAAGGCTTTATTAAAAGGGACCAACTTCCGGATACCTAACCCACCAAACTTCAACGGTTTGCAAACCTGCTCCCAATTAACAAGATGATACTTAAACTCCTCTCCTTTTCCACCCCAAAGAAAATCTCTCTGAATTTTTTCAATTCGTTCAGCAACAGAGCATGAGATTTGAAACAAAGATAAGAAATATGTGGGAAGGGACAAGAGGGTGCTCTTAATAAGAGTGACCTTCCCCCCTTTCGAAAGATACTGTTTTTTCCATCCCGCTAATCTTTTTTCATACCTGTTAATCACCGGATCCCAAGTCCCCATTCTAATGGAGGAGATTCCCAAAGGTAATCCCAGATAAGGGAGTGGAAAAGCACCCACTCCACACCCAAGAACAGCAGCTAAAGAGGAAATATCGGAAACCTCCCCAACTGGAACAAGCACACTCTTTCCAACATTAATCTTAAGACCAGACATTGCTTGGAAGCATGTAAGAATGCACCTCAAATACCTGAGTTGGGAAACATCAGCATCAAAGAAAACCAAGGTATCATCTGCAAACAACAAATGGGATATCGCAATCTGGTTAGCAATATCTCTACCAACAGTGAACCCCCTTATGTACTCCAAATCCTCTGCCTTTTTCATTAATCTACTAAATCCCTCCACGACAATAAGGAAAAGAAAAGACGACAAAGGATCTCCTTGTCTCAAACCACGCGAGCTCAGAAAAAAACCAGTAGGAGAGCCGTTTACAAGCACAGAGAACATAACTGACGAGATGCAAGATTCAATCCATTTTATCCATCGATCCCCAAAGCCCATTCTCCAAAGCAAGTAAAGAAGAAATTTCCAATTCACGTGATCATAAGCTTTCTCGATGTCAAATTTGCATAAAACACCAGGAACTTCACTCTTCAACCTGGAGTCGACACATTCGCCTGCGATTAGAACGGAGTCTAAAATCTGTCTACCACAAACAAAAGCATTTTGTGACTCTGAGATAATTCCATCCAAAACATTTCGCATTCTAAGAACAAGGACCTTGGCAATAAGCTTATACATACACCCCACTAGACTGATTGGCCGGAAGTCCTTAATGTCAGAGGCGTTGCCCTTCTTAGGAATAAGAGCAATGAAAGATGCATTTAATGATTTCTCAAATGTGCCATGAGAATGAAATTCCTGAAAAGTGCCCATTATCTCATTACGCACCACCTCCCAGCTCTCCTTCAGAAACCGCATAGTGAATTCGTCTGGCCTGGAGCTTTATCACCATAACAACTGGATAACGCCTTGAGAACTTCCTCTTCAGAGAACGGAATCTCAAGCATATCACTATCCAGCGTAGAAATGGCATCGAAATGCAAACCATCAAGTTTTGGTCTCCACTCTAAAGTCTCGGTATAGAGCTGCTGATAAAAAGAAACAATACCCCCACGCACCTCGTCTTCTTTCCGCAACTCTAAACCATTCACACGAATACGCCCAATGTTATTGTATCTTCTATGAGCGTTAGCAAGCCTGTGAAAGAATTTAGTATTGCAGCCACCTTCTTTAAGCCACAAAGCCCGAGATTTCTGACGCCACGAAATCTCCTCCATAGTAGCAATCTCAGCAAAATCGCCTAATAAGACACTCTTCGAGAGCGTAGAGATTCCGTGACTTGCCCTGTCTCATCAAGACGATCAATCTCAGCAATTTCAGCTAGGACTCTATTTTTCTTCCATTAAAGATTCCCAAATACTACTTTGTTCCACTTCTTAAGCTCAGATTTGAGAATCTGAAACTTCTTAGCAAGCACATAGCTATTAGAGCCAGTAAACACTGCTTCCTCCCACCAGGACTGGACCTTCCCTTGGAAGTCCTCAGCTCTCAACCACATATTTTCGAAACAAAATGGAGTCCGTCTAGATCTCATACCTCCACAATCAAGAACTAAGGGCACATGATCAGACGTGACTCTAACCAAAGCTGCCTGAGTGACATCCGGGAACTTCTCCTCCCAATCTCCAGAAATCAGGAATCTGTCGAGCCTCGATAAAGTAACTGATTCTCTGCCGCTAGACCAAGTGAAAGTTGCCCCTTGCAAAGGCAAATCAATAAGAAGGTGACCATCAATAAAGTCGGAGAACTGGGTCATCTCCGAAGACCACCTCCCCCCTGTGGATCTCTTAAATGGAGACCAAACATAATTGAAATCCCCGCCTAAGCACTAAGGCAACGACCACAATTCCTTAATGTAGCTAAGTTCTGGCCAAAAAACAGGTCTATCACAATCAATAACGGGTCCATAAACTCCAGAAAAGACCTAACTGAAATTATCATCTTCCATCTGAAACACACATGACAAAGAAAATAGCCCTTTCTAGATATTCGTTTGGGACATCCATCTACGATCCCACATAATAAGAATGCCACCTGATGTACCAGAGGCGTTCAAGGCTTCCCAATCCACGAACCTACTTCCCCAAAGGCTTCTAACCACATCATCAGAAATAGAAGCCAACTTGGTTTCTTACAAACAAATAACATGGGCATTCCACTTCTTCAAAGCAACTTTAACCACCTTTTTTTTGTCCGGATCATTTAATCCACGGACGTTCCATGTAATAATTCGTATCTTCATTGAGAACCAAAGATGATCAGTGCCCCTCCTCCCTGCTTTCCAATTTTGGTCCTTCCCCTTTCTTTATTCACCCCATCCTTCCCTTCGTAATTTACATTAGAAATAAGGTTCTTAACCTTTTGATCACCTTTCCGATGTGCATGTTTCCTATTTTTAACAACTTTTGTGCTTTTAGAGGTCTCTGTATTATTGTTTCCTGCCACAATATCATGAAGAATGGTTTGTGTTCGATCATCATCTCCTTCTGAGGAGACACCCAAAGCTTCGTTGACCTTGCCAATATTATCCAATACCCAGTCCATACCCAAATCGTTAACCGTCTCTAAGCAATCAGGGTGTACAGTTGCTAAGGGTTCTATAATGTCCACATCAGATTGATCAATATCCCTGGCAAGAGGACAGATCTGTTGAGACTGATCTTCAAAGTCCTCCCCTTTGCTTTCAACACTATTCTGATACAAGTTTAATTGCAGATTCAACTCTGTTCCAGGGTCATCCGTAAAATTTGTCATCAAATCATGGGTAGAGTTTGTCCCAGTAACGGAGGGTAGACCATTTAAGCCTTTTAGAGCAACACAGAGCTTGAGTTCATTAAGTAAAGACACGGCTAAATCATCTGTCAGCTTAAAATGAAGGTCTCATCCAACACAAACTGTCTCCCCTTTGGAACAACCAATACTTTCGGACTTAGTCAACAAAGACGGTGATTCTGCATCCCGTGGAACAATGGCTTCAGGAAGACCTCTCCTTTGATCCAAACGATCCTCCACTCCACCTTCACCATTTCCCATCACCTCACACGAAGAAGGGGTAGAAGATGAGCTCTTAGGATGAGATACAGAGGTCGAACCTGGAGAAGGAGAAGGAGAAGGAGAGCGCGCTACCCATTTCTGTTTTTCAGCATGAGTCCATTGGGTACCCTGTCGACTAGCTGAGGCAACCGGCCATTTCCACTTTTCTTTCTCAGTCCGACGCTGAAATGAAAAAGAGGAGAGATTTTGATATTGGGTTTGAGTGTGAACATGGGCTTTCCTTGGATCTGATTCGTTAAGAATTGAAACAGAAAATGAGTTGGGTCCTTTAAGAACCCGTCTTTTAGTGTGGGCTGGCTTAGGCCCAAAATCAGGCTTGAATCTTAATGCCTTAGTTTGCCCATAACCCCTCCGGCCCAAATCAACTTTAGGCCAATCTGTGAGGCCCAACCCAACTTCCTCACCCTTGTAGATAAGGATAGGGTTGAATCTGGAATTGAGGCTCTATGAGCACCACGTGTAAATTTATCCTTGTCAACTATAATCGGCGCGTGACCGGCGCGTGTCGTTTACTTGATCTTCCTCGCACCCATTCTTTCTCCGGCATATGATGAGGCCCGTCGCCGCCTTCAATACTCTCTGTCGAGGGAACCAACGCCGGTGCAATTTCTTCCCAGATCGCCACCTTATAACAGAAAGTATCATCATTAATAAACACAAATTGCGGACAGGTCGATCCTATTCTCACTGTAATCCAAACACTTTCGGCATCCCTTGTTTCATCAGCAACAGCTCCCACAAATCCGCCGCACAACTCCCCTACTTAAACAAATAAAGCATAACACCATAGGTGAAGGGGAAGTCCAAACAGCCGGATCTGTTTGAGACCTTTTTCTCTAAGGACGCCGCAACAACCAACCCTAAAAGACCATACATTGATCTGTAGGGTTGCAGATCCCTATTGACGTCGACCTTCCTTCAACACACGTTGGGCTTCGGTCTAAGAAGGAAACCTAAAAAGGAGCAGCGAATCAGATAATGGAGTAACCCCCACTCTATAGGACGTATTCCATGCTCTTGTAGCACATTCCTCCACACGATCACAACCCCCAACTTCCTTGTCAAAACGCCCGACCAAGCAAGATGAGAGAACTGATTTCCTCCCTGCGACGAACTCCCCGTCGATGTACAAAGACGGTCCTCGATGTGGAACTGCCGATTTCACATCCCCAGTTATTGAAATTCTTGGAATCTTTGCAGTCTCTAAATAAAATTTCATCATGAACGGAAACAAAAAAAGAAAGAAAAGGACAAAGTCACTATCGCCTTAAAATCGCCCACGGTGACGTCATCAAAAGAGTACGAGTAGCTCACTTGATTCCAAGATAACTGTTTTTTTTTTTTTTTCTTTTCTTTTCTTTTAATCAATTCTTATTCTTATTCCTATTCAGATTCCTTTTCCAAATCCTAAAATAATTGATTCCAAACAAAGCGTAAGAGATAAGAATCAACCCTAGAACTAGAAGTCTAGAGCGGGCATGTGCTCTTCAGATTCACCGGTACGATCTCGAGGGCAGCCATCCAAGTCTCTATCAAAAAGTCAAGCACTACATCATATCTGCAGATCGAGTCTGTGCAATCTTGTAAAAAGAGATGGATGGTGATATCGTGAAAACTGTGTCATCTATATATATATTTGTGAGAACCAACCTTCTTTTATAACTTTCTGAACATTGTTTTTGTTTTTTTAAATTTTTAGAATCGTTTTTCTAAATTTGATCTCAACATGTCATAGTACTTTTGAAATTCTGAAAAAGTATTCTCCAATCCAGTGCCCCTCTTCAAATTTACAACCTGAGTTAGATCTTTTCAATCCGGCCTGTGAATTCTCTGTCTAAGCAATTATTCTTTCCCGATTTGGGACCTGCAATGAACCCTCCTAAAATTAGTTAGTTATATATATTTTTAAGTTTGAAATTTTAAGGATATTCATTAAAAATTAGAAAAACCTTCTTTTGGCACAGGTATTGGGAAATAAACATACAAAAATAGTACTACAATTGTTTATTGTGCAAAATATAGTAGCTATTAGTTTGTGAAATTATCATGATAAATAACTTATTTAATTTATTTTCTTTCCCAATACTAACCTTTTTAACCTCTCATGGTAACTTAGTTACCTAATCCCAGTAAGATATGAAAAATGAAAAATAAAAAGTAAACAGAAAACCTAAACCTATTTCCTAAAAACCCAATTTAACATCGCTTTTAACATCGTATAATCAAATTTCTCTCTTTTTCTCCAAGCAAGTGAGCAAAATTGGTCTTTTTATGAACCTGACTTTTTTATTTTTTTATAGACAAAGCAAGCGTTCATCTTCTCCTGCTATCTGCGAAATCAATTCCCATGGAGAAAACAACAATATGGTAAAACATTTACACCATCTTTTCACTAATGTATTTTTCTATATTTATTTTATTTTTAAATGAAGATATTTTGTTACAAAAATTCAGCAATACTGTGGTGTTTCTGTTATCACACTTTCTTAATTATTTTTATTTATTTATTCTTTAATTGGAATAGTGAGAAGGCTGATAAAGGAGCACTGTGTTTGGAAGATTACATTAGTGGACTTCCTAATGTTCTCCTTGTTTCGATCTTGTCACTATTGACGATGAAAGAAGCCGCAAGAACTAGTCTGCTATCAAAGAGATGGAGGTATATGTGGACTTACATTACATGTTTGAACTTTGATGCCTCACATATATTAGATGGAATTCTATTGGGAAATAATACACATGAAGTCGAAAGGCCTTGTATTTGAGTTGGGTAAATCAAGTATTGAAATCGTACAACGGTCCAAGTTTAGATGAATTCAGAGTTCAATTTGATCTTGATGAACATTCTGCATTTGATATTGACAATTGGATTAATTTTGCAATCAGAAAGAATGTGAAAAAGCTTGAGCTAGATTTCTCGTATTGTTGGGTAGTTAAGTCCAATTTTTACAATTTTCCTGACATGGATCAAATCACAAATCACCTGCATTCATCGCCTCTTGCGTTTACTCGCTTCAACTCCCTAACTAATCTTCAGCTGGCAGTAGTGAATGTAACTAGACAAGTTCTCGAGTACTTCTTAACTAACTGTCCATTTTTGAAACAATTGTTTGTGACAAAAACCAGGTGTCTTGTAAACCTAAAAGTTCCTGATCTATCACTCCATTTGAAGCGTTTGGAGATATATTATTGCTTCAATGTGGAAAGTATTGAGATTTCTGCAATAAATCTCGTGGCATTTAAGTACCATAGACCAAAAATAAGCTTTCCATTTAAGAATAAGTCGCCTGTTGATTTGTATATGGGGGTATCGATTGCGATTATCTAATATATAACTTTTTGGAGATTTCAAGTTATCTTTCAATGTCTCTATACCAATAGAGCATACTTTCAATGTCTCTAGGCAAACAATTTTTCGCAGCATACCAATAGAGCATGTAAGGGCATGTTTGAAGGGGAAAAAAACTCGTTAAGTCAAAGGCACGTGCGTATTATCTTTAGTCATTTAAAAGGTTCAAGTCCATATGAGTGCAAGTTTAACCCAATTCCCACTATGAGGTCGAAAGAGTTGACAATCCATTAGCCCATAATTCAGATAATATTTCATCTCAGCCATTAAATTGTAATCCATCTCAATTGGGTTTTTAGAAAATTATAAAACATAACTTGTTCTAAAAAATTAAAAAAAAAAAAAAAAAAACTTCTTCTTTAAGAAAAAAAAAAAAAAAAAAAAGATCTGTTACGAAAACTATCAGACAGTTTTAAGTTTTAACGTGATCGAACGATCGATCACGAAATCCGATCTACAAGAAGGAAAAAGAGCAAAGGGCTCTTCATATGGTGATGCAAGGTGTCAGAAGAGGAATGAAACTTGGTCTCCAGAGAAAGGAAAGGTTTGAGAGAGAGAGAGATTAAGAGACAGACACAGATAAACGAAGAAAATTAAAATATATATATATATATTAAAGTCAGCATTCAATTAGCTGCTGACACGTCCCGCCAAACTACTTATGTATTATCTCTTTGGGCCTTGTTAATGAAATTATGCAAGTTGGGCCAAAATTAACGAGTTTGTTCCCTACAAACAGGACCTTAACGTCTTGTCTTTGTCATCTGTCGGCCTAGTGATGGCGTGAATGTGCTGCTGAGTTTAGAAGCAAAACAAAATAATTATAAAGTTAGTAAATAAATATAAATTTGTAAATTAATTTGTCAATTTTAAGTTATTCCCTCTTACATTAGAATTATTGCTCACCCGAGAAGTTTGTGATCTATGCATTGAATTCACACTCATTTTTTTAAAAAGATGTTAAATGTCATCTTCATGTTTTTCAAAATACGAGCCTTCACATAAAGAATCTACTATATCCTTATGAGTGTCGGATAAGCTCTCATAGAAATATTGAACCACTTGCCATTTTGGAATGTCATGATGTGGACCTTTTCTTAGTAAGTCATTCAATTTCTCCGAAGCTTCATGCAAAAGTTCTCCCTCCCCATGGGAAAATTCTCTAATGGCGGTTCTCATTGAATTGGTCAAGCTCACTAAGTAATACTTTTTCAAAAAATCATTTTGCATTTGTGCCCAAGAAGTTATTGTATTTGATCCCAAACTATTAAACCAATATTTTGCCTTATTTTTAAGAGTGAAAGGGAAGATAAGTAACTTAAGGACTTCTTTCGGTATATTCATATATCTTACAGTGGAGCATACTTTAAAAAACTCATCCAAGTGTTTGTATGGTTCCTCACCATCTAACCCATAGAAAAGTGGACACAATTGAATGGTCTCGGGTTTGATTTCATAGTGATCAGCTTGGAAATTAGGAAGCATGATGGAAGTTGGTGCATGGTACCCATTGAGATTGTAATGATCATAAATGATCATTGAAGGAATTAGAGCTTGAACTCTGGGAGGAAATTGGTCAAAAAGTTGATGTTCAATGAAGTTCGGGTCTAAATAACCAAGATTATCCTCAAGGCTTTCCTTGGAGTAGTGAGGATGAAGGGTGGGAATGAACCACACAAATTTTAGTCAACACACCAATAAGAGCAACAAAAACACAAACCTCTTCTCCACAACAAATCAATCAATAACAATCCTCCACATACGATGATCCCATACTCCCATGCTTTTCAACAAATAAAAATAAAAGTGCCTCCACGCGGGCCGACAATTTAACTAAGCAATTAAAAGTGCCTCCAAGCGGGCCGACGATTTATCTGCAAGAAAGGAGTTTAGAAAGCTCACAAAAGGTCCTTAAGCAACTTCAAGAATTTATAAGCATTTTTGTTTTGCTTTTGCAAGTTTTATTTTTATTTTTGCTTTTTGCTTTTTATGCTTTTTTTGCTTGATTTGAGGCTCCTTTGCTTTGCTTCTCTATGCTCCAAGTACCTAAGTAACAAGAGTGATAAGATGAGAACAAAATAAATAAAAATAAAGCAAGGATCAAAAGAGTACTAATTCCAATTCAATTCCTTAATATAACGTTGCTAATCCCTAGCAACGGCAACAAAAAACGTGGTGTGTCTGTGACCTTGTGCTCAAAATGATGTAAAAAGTATGAATGTGAGAAGTGGCCACCACATTTAAAATTTATAAAAACCACTTAACACTATACTATGTAGTATGAGTGAAAAGGGATCGTCCAAGAGATTTGTAAGGTATCACAGAATTAATGTTGGATTAGTAGGTCGAATGATCAAAAATAGGTTTGTTGGTTGAATTATACTAATGATTCAATTGAAAACAATGTAAATTAAAAGCAATCTAGAGATTAATTTGTCAATTTTTATATATATTAAAAAAAAAAAAAAGTGTTTGCCTAGAGATATTGAAACTATTTCACCTCTGATTTGTGAATGTTGAATTTTAACTTGATAAAAGAATAAAATTAATTAGTTAACCAATCAACCGATAAATAATAAATAAGCAATCTCAAATTTTTTAGATATCTAGTCATTACAACATTATTCGAAGTAAGTGGTCAAATAATATTTTATAACATATTATTCACTCACAGGACACCCTAGATTTAAAGTATGTTTTATAGACATAACAAAAAGGGCAAAAAAAAAAAAAACAAAAAAAAAAAAGAAACAACAACAACAACAATTTTGTCTGTCAATCTTACATTTTTTTACTAAACATGTTTTCATGTTATTCCATAAATTTTACAACAAATTTTACATTAGCAAACATGCTTTCAATTACTATTGAACACACTCCACAACAAATGATAAATTTCTATTTCGAATGAAAACATAAACGAATGAAAGAAGATTTGAAAGAAATCATAGAATAAACGATAAAGATGTGCAGAAATGGAGAAGGCGTTAAAAAGAGCTTTGCTTTACCATTAAGAAGGAGGTGGAAGAATCAACCATTTTGAAATTACTCTCGATTTTCATTTCAATCAGTTTCAGTTTTCGTTTCAATCAGATTCATTTTTATCCAATTTCACAATTTGACCATATTTTCTTTGGGAATTTATTATTTTCTAGTCATCGAAATTTTGTCATATAAATTAAGACACATCTTGCAATACCCAATTTTCTTTTACATTATGTTTATTATATGCAACCTCTAACTTCAAAAATAATTTAGAAACAAAGAAATTTCTTACTTCTCTGGTCAAATAATACTATAAAGAATAAATAATGTATGACTGTAATATAGTTTAGCCAATCAATGATGTTAATTTGCTTAATATGTTGGATTATTGAAATATATATTATATATATATGTATAATATATTATACATATTATAACTATATATTAGATTCAGTTTCCTTTCTTTCCTCCTTGATTTATTCTTTTTGTTTCCCTTCTTTCCTCATATATATGTATAATATATTATACATATATATTATATTCGGTTTCCTTTCTTTCCTCCTTGATTTACTTTTTGATTCTTTCCTCCTTTATTTATTCTTTTTGTCTACAACTTTATTTCCTATATATTGTGTATCAACACAATGAAAACATATTAAGAAATACAAGCAATAAGAGAAATGTAGGCCTTAGTGCCGAACCATGTATATACTGTGTTCTTAATCTTTCTCTGTTTCATCTTCCTATTTTACATCTTATATTTCTGCATCATAAATTTAACATGGTATCAGAGCAATGATCCAAGATCGTTTGTTTCTTTTCTTTTCTTTTCTTTCTTTCTTTCTTTTTTTTTTTTTTTTTTGCCCTTTATTGATTGCAGATAGCAGTAAAGGAGAAGACCAATAAAATCTGATCCATTTCTGGTTCAGATCTCTCTTTGTTTTCCTTTTTTGATCAACCACGCGTTTCCAAGCGACGTCCCGCATTGTCACATGCCAACGCTTCTGTGAAATAGATCTGACTTGTGCTTCACGAGCCCAAGCGACGCATGCTCCTGCGAGTAAATCTCACTCACGCTACACGTGCCCACGCGCTCCTCCTTCATCGACGATAGTCAACGCTCCAAAGCGGTGACCAACTATTTTCCGGCGTTGTTCCGGCATTTCTCGGCTTTGTTCCAACTATTCCCCGGCTTTGTTCCGACTATTTCTCGGCTTTGTTCCGGCCATTTCCCCGGTTGTTCATGCATTTCTCAACTTTGTTCCGACTATTCCCTAGCTTATTTCCGGCCTTTTACGGGCTTTGTTCTGAATCTTTTTCATTTC